CTGCCATGTTTGTAATGACTTATCATGAGAACAAACGTATTCACGTGACTTTAATAACATTTATTACTTAATGGAAACACTGCAGTTGTCAAACTGTGTTTTTCAACATTAACAGAATATCGACAAGTTTTGCGACCATTTGCAATGGAAACACAGCTAATGTTAGCTCATTGTTGGTAACTTGTTTTTTTTTTTTTTTTTTGGTGTCTTGATGCAAATGTCATTTAGTTGAACTCGTGTTAAAAAATAAGTCAATACAAACGTTTCACGTAACGTACTCTCACCTGTGTTATCTGTCTGTGTTAATTAAGGCTATTTGGCATCCCAGGACCTATGTTCTTTGTAGTATTGTGTAATTCCAGATGAAATATCTGTTCTGATGTAATTAGTCAGGCTCTACTTATAGACTGAAGCGACTTTCATACGTTTTTTTTTCCTCTTCATGACACATTTTTGGACTGTTGTGACTTATACTCTGAAGCAACCTATAGTCCAGAAAAGATGGTGAGCTTGTCTATTACACACATGCACACACAAAAATGACAGTCTGAGTTCTGGTTTTGGCTTTTGGTCAACAGTCTTGCAAAATAGCTTTTGTTGTTTTGTTCTCAGTTTTTGTTTTTATGTGAATAGCTTGTTCATAGCTAAATATGATAATTTTATTTCTCTGCAGTTTACCTCACAAATTTTCATCAAAGGCAGAACAGAATGTTTTTATAAAGTCAAGGAGTGTTTTTATTTTCCAGACTTTTCCACTTCTTAATTAACTCAAGCCCTCGCGGGTCGGCAGGACTGAAATGGGCTGTTGACTCGTCAAAATTTTATAGTAGAAGGTCTTCATCTGAGATCATAACAGTGTGGAAAATTCTCTGGCTGTTCAGCCAGACGCCTGACTCCCATCTTCAGTTTTCACATAAAAACATGTGTTTGCTACACTGTAGATGTGGATTTTCAGAAAGGTTTTTCAGATTTAGTTGCTGTCTGTGCTCAAAGGAACAGATGAACTTTACTGAGTTCTTCAGTGTAATAGTTTGTACATGCTGGGGCCAAACTGTATATAGTCTAGTAAATGTATTGTTTGACTACTTTGTGCTTACACATTTTAAAGACTGTTAGTTAGTAGGAATATGATTTAAGTTTTAGTACTATTTCATATCGGCTTTGTCCAACACATTTTCTATGTTCTGACTTAAATGTTTTAGTTGTTATCAACATGGGTAGTGAAATGTTATCTGGGCACTCCTGATTTGCACTAAAACAGGGGCATCTCTGCTATATGCGGATGATGAGGTTCTGTTTTGGTACTAATGGGCCCAAAGTGTGCCAGGAAAATATCCCTCACACCATTGCACCACCACCACCAGGCTGAACCGTTGATACAAGGCAGGATGGATCCATGCTTTCATGTTGTTGGTGCCAAATTCTGACCCTACCATCCGAATGTCGCAGCAGAAATCGAGACTCATCAGACCAGGCAACGTTTTTCCAATCTTCTATTGTCCAGTTTTAGTGAGCCTGATACACGTGGGTGTTGGATTCAAACACACTGGGAACAAAAACAAGTTTAACAGGTTTATTAAAGCGCTGGTTGTTAGTACTCCTCTGGACCCTCGTGGCGGACCACACTGTGGAGCAGAACACTGGGAAGTGTCAAGTGTAGATGAGATGAATTTGTTTAAGAAGAGGATTTTTACTGACCTTAGATCGGTGGATGGGTTTGAGCTGGTGAACCCACAGTTGGTGGGAATCCGAGAGAGTAAGGGAGTAGACTAGTTTTGGTAATCCAGAGAGGGTTCCAAGGTCAGAGCCGGGAGGTCAGACATCCAATAACAAATTCTAATCAGAATCAGGTGACATGTCCAAAAAGCAGAAACGGGTTTGAAAGCCAAAGGTCAGATTCAGCGTAGGTAACGGGCAAGGAGCAGGCAGGTGACGGTGGTCTAGGGACAGGCAATGGGTCATGAGCGAGCGGTCAGGCATGGACATGAGAGAAGTGCTGGACATCTACTTGGTGAACCGTTCAATAATCTGGCAGTGAGAGTCTGTGAGTCTGGAGCTTGTGTAGTGAGCTGAACAGGTGAAACTGATGAGGTTGATTGCTGTTCTGTGAGGGGAGGGGTGAAACAATGAGCAGGTAAACAGAACTTAAGAGACAGGAGGGCAGACGGAGCAGCCCAAAACATGGCCGAGCCTGTGTGAAATGTAGCCCGAGTTTCGTTCTTAGCTGAAAGGAGTGGCACCTGGTGTGGTCTTCTGCTGCTGAGCAAATCTTTTCCACTAAATTGGTCATGTGACCAGGACATAAGGGTGTCCAGGGACTCCAGGGAATTAATCGCCAAATTAATAGTTATCGATTAAATACCATAATTAATCATGATTAATATTTTTTGCCAATATCGCCCAACCCTATATTGTATAATGAATAAACAATGTGTGTTTATGTGTGTAAACTGCCACAATACAATACATAAAATGCAAATACTTTGTAAACATAATATATTAAGTAGCAGTCAGTATGGGTTTAGAGCTAACAATTCTACATCAGTTCACATCAATGGCCCTCATGACTTAGTAGAGCAAATAACAACTGCTGTTGATCAAAAACAATACTGTGTTAGTATTTATGTTGACTTGAAGAAAGCTTTTGACACCATTGATCACAGTATTCTTATTGAAAAATTTAACAAATATGGTATTAGAGAACCAGCGTTACAGTGGGTAGCTAGCTAGCTATTTGAAAAATAGAAAACAGTTTGTTCAAATAAATGATGTAAGATTTGAATTAAGTAATGTCACATGTGGAGTGCCCCAAGGTTCAGTACTTGGACCAAAGTTATTTATTTTATATGTAAATGATTTGGTAAATGTGTCAGGGTTACTCAAGTAAAGTACAGATACCCAAAAATTCTACTTAAGTACAGTAAAGAAGTATTGTACTTAGTTATTTTACAACTCTGTTTATATGTACTTATACTACATAGTGATAATGGATTACTGTGACTAAAATGTTCATTACTAGTTCACCACTAAGACTGAAGTCAGTCTGTCATTGTTTTGTTGTGTTTTTGAGGTTAATTGACAGATTTAAAAGTATACATATACCTACAGAAAATTTAAACATCTTATTTTTCTTTTGAGCAATTAGAAACCATTTATCAGTACAAAAGCAAAATATTCAGATATGTATATGTGAAAACTGTAAAAGTACTTGCAGTATTTGTGTTAGCAGGTGTAAGGACGGTGAGCTCACACATTGTTTGGGTTCTTGCAGTGATTTCCTCGTGCCCGACTACCTGAGCCAGGTTCAGGAGGAAGAGGAGGCGCTGGGAGTCCAGTATGAGCTGGAGGAGGCCCAGCATCACCCACTCTTCCCAAGCAGCACCTCCACTTCCACCACCACTGCCACCTCCTCCTCAGTCCAGATGTCTGTCATTTCCCAGGTCTCCTCTTCCACCCAGAACTGTGAGAGCTCCTCTGGCTTCCTGTCACCTGAACCGCTGGAGGCCACTCCCCCTCTGAAGATGGACACAGATGAGACAGCGGTCTCCACAGAGGAGACCAGAGTGGACGACCGTGCAGGAGTCAGTTCTCCAGAGGTGTTTGACGAGGAGCAGCAGCATCCTCAGACCAAGGAAGTGGCTTCCATTACCATCGAGTGATTCAGCTTTGGCCTTCCATCATGTCTTATTTTGCAGTTCTGCCACGTGGGGTTACTCATCGCAGTGATTAGATGGAACCACATGTGAACAGTTCATCACATGGGACTGTGAGGATGGAGATGATCTTTGAAGACTCCTGTTGGCTTCAGAACCTCGTTCTCTGCACACAAGTGAAAGCACTTATTTGCGTTTATGTTGTACATCAGATCTCATTAGGTCAGGCGGTCTCAAAGCGTTTTTACTACCTGGAAATGTGAGTTATCAGTATTTTAACAAAGTAATAAAGTTGTTTTTTATCCCATATGACTTGAATGCAGCTGAAGTCATTTATGTCTTAGCCAATTGGAGGTTTGTTAATTCCAAGCCTTGACTCAACTTTTAGAAAGTGCCTGAGAGTTCACACTTAAAGTAACATATAAGGAAAGAAAAGCACTCGGCTTTGCCTGGTGATAAATCAAGTGTTTGTGAACTTGGTTCAAATGTATTAAACTGTATTAAATTTGTAGAAGTATTGTTAGTTTGTATGGGTAGAGACTGTGCTATTCCTTTGGTGCCGTTGCTATTGGCAAACTATTACATGTCAATATTATCTATACTGCAATAGCTTGTACTGTAGTTCTATATGAATGCTGTGTGTGTTGAGTGTTGTGAAATACGATGTGTGTATGTGCGTTTCTATGACCAGTATGAACACAGTGCATTTCGTTTGTGTTTAAAACTTGAAAAATGTTGATAAAATATTCCCTAAATTCATTCAGTGTAAAAATGTTAGTTTTTATTTTCAGTAAACACTGTTGTGAAAAAGCTTATACTACAAGTTAAGATCACTTTCAATTAGAACTCCACTCAATTCCAGTTAATGCTGAGTATAACTGTGTTGTGAAAGACAAAGGAAAGTTTCACAGACGACTGGATGATTTTTCCAGATTGTCTCTAAGTTGTGCTTAAAGAACATTTCTTCCCCACTGAAGGTGAGCCAGCTTGACAAATGGCAGTTGTCAAACATGTTATGTTAGTTTGTGTTGTACAGTTTAATATTTCACCTGTTTTTAAATTCTGGATTTACTGACGGGTACATTGCTGATGTTTCAGTATATTTCTTAGCCATCATGCCCCTTTTCCACTGGTGCCACTTAGTGTAGTATGGGTACGGTCAGTGTCAGAACGGGTCAGTTCGGCTGTTTTTCCATTGACCTTCCAGTCCGGTTCCAGTGGGTGTGGTTTGGGCGGTTGATTTTTGGTGTTTTCGAAAAAAATAAGTTAATGCACAAAATGAGAGATGGAAACACATTTCCCGAATAAGTTCTTAAATTTTAAACATTCTCTAAAAATTTAAATTAAAATTGGGTGGAAACATGACTAATGTTGCTGCTACAATTGAGAAAATGATGCCTCGAGTTGTAAAGACAGCTCAGACGAAACCAGTGACTCCACCCCCTAACCAACCAGTGACGAACAGTGTTCTGACGTCCCTTTTTGGTGTCGACTGGGACCGCTTGGAACCACAACGAAGTCGGTACTAAACAAAGGGCTGGTTCCAAGAATCTGGCCTAAAGGAAATGTCTTGGAACTGTACCGAACCGTACCGACACCACACTGAGTGGCACCAGTGGAAAAGGGTCATTATTAGAGTGCTCTTTCATCAGGTACAGCAATATTTCTTTTGGTTTTTAACTTTTAGGCCTGTGACTATTTCTGATCAAAATTCTGACAAGAAGAAAACCTTTGAAAGTTTCCTTCTTTTACCCCACAGGGTTAATTAGAAATGTTGACCTGAACAACCTCGTGACACAAACTTCTCACTGTCCGAAATATTTAAACCCACTGAGAACTGTCTTAACCAGAGCTGACGTTACCCTGAATACGTGGTGTCGTTTGTACACTTACAGTCAAAAATTACCACTACCATTTGAGCTAAATATTTAGGTGGCTAGCTAAAAATTTAGTTAAATATTTAAGTTGCAAGTTAAATATTTATCTTGTTAACTAAATATTTAATTTGTAAGTTAAATATTTAGTTTATAAACTATGACATTTATAAATGTATGAATCATATGGTGAAAAACTGACTTTGAAAAATAAATCTGTTCTTTTTTTCTTATAAAAGGTTAAATAAACATATTGGTGGTAGTTTTTGACTGTGTAACTTGACAAACAGCAGCCCGTACCTGTGCTGCATCCTTCCAGACATTTGTTTTTAATGTTGTGCCATTTGCCCTTTTAATCTGGGTACAAATCCAGCTTTTTAATCTAGGACCAAACGTTCTGTCTCATTGGGAGTTTGCCATGGCAATCAGTAATTGCACATGATAAAAGAAACAGATAATCATTGTAGTAGTCCCTGGTGGTTAGCTAAAAGGTTCTGCTTTTCTGCCTCTAAAACACAGTTTGATGTTTGCATTTCAGAGGCAAGCCTTAGTAAATGGACCTAAGAACTCTAGAGTTGCACAATGTCAGATTATAAAAAAGTTTTGCATTCTCCATTTGTATGTCGTACTTTTCATCATTTGTTGTCTGTAATCAAACTTTTTTTACTATGAGATGCTGCTGTTTGTTGAAAATCAAAAGTGCCCAAAATATTTTTGTGAACTGATGTTGTGCAATAAATGGACCGGTGTTGTGTCAAAGTTTTAATCCTGTCTTTGGAACGGTGAATCTAATATCTATATATGTGTATATATACACACACATATATATATACATATATAATCATAGCATTAGAATGTATACTTTAGTTGTATTAAAACCTGTACGTGAAGGTGAAGTACACAGGCTTGGACCCAGTTTGATGTGTGAAACAAGGAGCAGGACCGGTTCTGTTCAGCTCCTGTGTGTTTGTGTCAAAGCTTGCATGTTCATATGGTTGTGTGAAGTGAACCAGAGCATGTCTCCAGTCAGTGGTGAGATCTTTAGGCCTTACAGCTCTTCACCCAGTGGAGCTCCAGTCTGCCCAGCATGCTTTCTGCTCCACATCAAACCTTTTTCTTTTTTTGTGCAATGTTGAAAAAGATCTTGATTACATTCAGGACATGCCTTTTCAATGTACACTTGATGTTGTATACGTTTTTCAGTCCTTATGGTTTATTTAAAAGGAAAAAAAACAATAAAAAAAACTGGTAGCTCCACATAATGATATATATTTTTGGTGATTTTTGTATTCTAGTTGCTGTTTCATGGCATTTTTGTATATTCTTGTTAAATGTGAAGTAGAGCAGTTTAGTCTTGCAGTTTGGGGAACCTTGGTAGTCTACTTTGTGACTGTTTGCAGTGTGTTTGTGTATATAAATATAAATAAATGTACAGTATATACACTCATACTATGTTGCATATTTTTTATATTGTAGGCTACTTGCTTCAAACATGTATTTTATGTTTTTGATGCTGTATTGAACTGTAGTTTGTAGAAAAATGTTTCAGATAATTATAGGTGGTGCAGAGTGTTTTCATCATATTAAACAGGTAGCAGTAAAACAATAAGGTCACTATGAGTTTCTTTCAGATCTTTACAGTTTTTCTGACTCTGCAGTCCTTAAAATAATTGTTTTTATATAAATAGAAAATGCAAATAAAATAACCAAACTGAGTAAGACTGACCTTGCCTGAAATTTTTAATAGCAAGCGTAAGATTAAATTCTTATCTTGGAAGAATCAAGGTGATTAAAATGACAATATTRCCCAAATTACTTTATCTATTTCAGAGTGTGCCAGTGTTCCTCACCAGGACTTTCTTTACAAATTTAAATAGTGAATTGTCCTTTATTTGGAATAAAAAACATCCACGGATGTAGGCAGTAAGATGTTACAGTTACCTCATGGTCTTGGTGGCTTGTCACTCCCCAACTTTTTATATTACTACTGGGCGGCCAACATTAGAGCTTTACTGTACTGGTTGAGAGACGACAACACTGTCCCTACTTGGGTAAATCTAGAGAGGAAATCAGTTACGGAGAGCTCTCTCTCCCTGCTTTACTTTGCTCCCAGTTACCG